GGAGTGACCACCATCATTAGCTCATGTTTAACAGCGTCAGTACATATGTACTTGGTGAGCTGAGTAATCTTATCTCTATCTGTATTGGTCAACATTCTGGGGGCACATCCAAACAGCTCTTGGAAGTAATCAACACAATGTAATTTCATCTCCTCCAAGTCGTCTATTCTCTCGTCGTCATTGCCCAGGAGATAGTGGATTTGATTTGCCGATCATCGTGCCGCAACCTTTCTATGGAAGTAAGCTGAGTTACAGTCCCCACACTCCACATTTTGAACCCTTGATCTTTGGTGAAGGAATTTTTCCTCAGCAAGAGAAAGGTCCAACCATTTCTTGTGTGCATGTTTCTCAATGTTGTCAGAATAGTCTCTTAACTAATCCCAATGTTGTCACGGCAGATTTCATCTTTGTTTCGTGGAATGTAATATAAGGGATGACGGGGATGACCTGGATGGACAAATGGCTCAGAAATTGAACTGCACAAGACATTTAATTCCACCTGCCCATGCTTGTACATGAAGCCATTAGAGACTCTAAAGCAAGCATGACAATGAAAGTAACTGGCTTCGCTTGTTTCTAAAGTAAGTCGTTTTATTGTGTAGCATATGCCATGTCTTTCTAGGAGAATCAGCGCAGTTCTTGTGGAGGAAGAAATCACAATCAGTACATCCATAAAAGGATTGGAGAGAGATGGGATGACAGCATGCGTTGCAACGCTTGTTTTCCTCCCACAAAAGACCATTATCATTGAGTCTTAGGTAATGTTGTTTGTGGCTGAAATGTTGTATTGTGTTTTCATCTATGACCACGCATGGTTCTATATCTTCTATTTCTTCAGGTACTCCTTCGAGTTCTTTTCCGTTCCAAACATCCTCTCTTGTAGCGCATTTCGAATGAACGACATAGTCAGGACATCCCTGACACGAATAACCTCCATAAATCCAATCCACCTTCTCGCGACAAACTCTACATTCAGAATTCACAACACCAAGAAGATCACAAAGAGTGATATTCAAGAAGTGGTTTCAAGACAAGACCAAGAAGGTGATTTGTTGGATTTAATGGGTGAAGCGGGAGAAACCGCGGTAGCTGTTGGTAATAGTTTGGCGTTAGCGTTATTCGATGGAGCAGTTGCGACTGAATCTGCGTCTGGACCGGGGTGGGAAGCGTTTAATGATGATTCGGCGGATTGGGAGACGGATTTGGTGAAATCAGCGACGAGATTGTCAGGACAAAAGAGTGAGCTTGGAGGAGGATTTGATACTTTGTTGCTTGATGGAATGCATCAATACGGTGCGGTTAACGCAGCGGTTAAAGCCTCTACGGCTTATGGAAGCAGTGGAAGTGCGAGTAGTGTAGCTTTTGGTTCTGCAGGAAGACCAGCAGGTAAATTTGATGTTGAATCATATGGTGATGCAGCCTCGATGTTGTCGTTGCCTGCGCCGCCACCGACAGCCAATGGAAATGGAACCGGAAGCAAAAATCCGGTGACTCTGGACCCGTTTGCGGCTTCTCTAGAGGTCGCACCACAAATGAATGATATGGAGAAAAAACAGAGATTACCAATGGAAGAACAAATGATGTGGGATCAATACAACAGAAATGGAAGACAAGGTTACATGAATTTCAGACCAAAC